TAAACCTGTAAGCAGTCGACATTAATTTAAATGATCTTTATTATTTTGCTTTCATTGCCAGGTGCATTTTACAAGCTATATATAAAATAAAAGGGATGATAAAATCTCAGAAAAAAATTCTCATTGTGCTTCCTGGTGGATCATGTACCTGGTAAGTATCAGGCCAATTTATATTAAAGACACAAATCAGAATAAAATGTTAATCAGCGTTAGAAATAAAATGAAACTGTATTAGCATCAATCAGAACCAAATGAAATACTTTTAAATTGTATGCATATGAGGGCCATTGTCTTGTTGTGAGTATATAGACCAGGTAAACAAAGATTAATATTGTTATACATCAACTAAAATCTAATTATATATGCAGTTGATTTCACATTAACAGTGTTAGCTGTGGTTCAATCAATGGCCTTTTTGACTATGTGCCAGAACATTGTGGGTTATTGCCCCACAGCCTTCAACACTTCTGTAGTGCACTACTGAAGGAATGTTGTACTGTTGGTGAAACTGCCTATCAGGTAGACATAAAAGATCCCACGACACTCCAAAGAAGAGATTGGGAAATTCTCTGGTATATTGGTCAATATTCATGCTTCAACCAATATCACGAAAACAGCTTAGCTGGTCATCATCGCATTACAGGGTGTAGGACTTTGCTGCTTTTCCAATTGGAGACTACAACTGCAACTTTGGCTGGAATGTACTCTAAAGCATGATGAATATTTGAAAGGCACATTATCAGTGCAAGTTCTTTATTTGGGCTTGCAAGATATTTCACCCTTTCATTATTATTAACTTTTTCTGAAAACATGTAATCTTTCAATTTGGCAACTCATAGCAACAGACAACAATTACAAATGCATTTAACGTCAAAAAGTCTGATTTCTAAAATGGAATTCAGTGCTCCCATGAAGTGTGGCAATAAATTGTTGATAATGTTTAGCCTAAAACAATGGAAAATTGAGAGTGAATTTAGAGTACCTTTATTGATTTATTGTCACGTGTATTTTGTTACAAATACAGTAAAAAGTGTTGTATAGTGTCACCAGTCTCTGATGCCATCTTAAAACACAGCAAATAAACCAAAACACAGAACAAAAATGCAGAAAATAAAGCAACAAAGTTCAACTTTACATTTCCTTATTATTAAATAGTCTTTGGAACGGCTCTCTCATCTTAGCTCAGCCATAGGCCTGGATCCAGATTCCTACACCTGATGCTGAGACTGTCACAAGCAGTCAGCTGGCCTCTAGTCCCTTTGCTGCATCGCCCGCCACTGGAAAACAAAGGGTTGCCGCTCACCGGCACCATCTCACCTCCAACACCACTGCTGTGCTGGGCCAACTTTGCTGACGCAGCCACTGCCAACGCTGCTGGGTCTGGCACTGGGCTCAAACCTGCGGCCACCACCATGCATCCACACTAGACCCACCTCACCAATGCCGCCGATACCCTCAGGTCTCACACTGGTCACTATTGAGCTCTTCACAAGAAGATGAGTAAAAAGAAAAGAAAAAAACACAAGTCAAAGTGGAATAGCCTTAGGCTTAGGAGCCTGAAAGCTGCCTATTCCGCTGCTGCCATCATATCAGAGATTAGGATTTCTACATAAATGCAATGCTTCAATTTGTAATTCCATAGCTAGGGAGTAAATGGGTTACTGTAGAGCATTGTAAAACATTAGTCTGATACAAACACAGAATTCTAATGTTTAAAGGGTTCACTCAAGTGGCTTTGTTGGTAAGTGATTTGCAAAATGTGTAAACTGAGCTAAGAAGATGAGGGAACTACTAACTTCAATCCCTTGGCTTTGTCAGCTTTAGTGCCCATAAGTTAAGGAATGACAGCTCAGCAGAGTGGCTGCACCTTATTGTTTCCCAAAGTTTTAAAACTGTGCTGACATCAGATGAGAAGTCCGAATTACTCTCTACTGAACGTTAAATCAAACTGCACCAACCTCAAGTCTGAAACTATCTTTTTTTTCCTAAAAAGGGCAGACTCATTGCTTGCTGCCCACTGACAGTAATTTGGACCCATTTCCGAGGGGAGTTAAAATGGGAATGAAGCACAAAATTCAAGGAAAAAGTGAATTAGAAAAATTACCATTTCTATTGGTCATGGCAGCTTCATCATCGTATACAAATTCATTCATTACTGTCAAGCTTTTCGCAAATAAACAACAATCTGCTTTTTAAACATCACAGTTGACCTTTGATCAACAAGCTTCTGCGTAAGTGTATTCCACTCTTCTGAAAATCCTCAATGTGGAGAAATTTCTCCAGGATCTGAATTTAACTGGCTTAGCTCCTATTTTAAGATTATGTGCTTTACATTCTGGATTTCCCGTGACAGGAAAGCATTTTCTCTCTCTACTCATAATTATATGTTCAAATCATTGTAACCTCTTCACCTCCGGGAACAAAAAGGTTCATCCATCATAACCCAGCCCCATCACCCTCTGAATACATGGTGAAAGTAGTCCACAATCCTGTCAGGTAGGAAATTCGAATTTTTTTTTTGGCCCAATGATGATAAAGAAATGACAGGTTAATATATGATGTAGGAATCTTGAAGGTGGTGGTATTTCCATGCATTCGCTGGCCACAATCTTCTAGATGGTTGAAGGTTTGATTTGGAGTGTATAGCCCATTTGAGTCTACTCCTCCATTCAATACAATCGCGAATGATCTCACACTTAACTCCACTTGTCAAGGATCATTTGGTGATTTGCTGCAGTGCATTCTTAGGTCGTACACATTCAGCCCTGACACATCAATAGTGGAGAAAATGGCTGATGAATTTGATGTCAACTGAATGGAATGTTTTGTTACGTATGCTGTAGCAGCTGCACTATCCAACAAAGCAGAGAGTATTGCATCACACTCCTGACCTGTGTCCTCCCCCTAGTACTGCAAACTCATTGGGAGATCAGGAGATGAACCACTTGCCATAGATTGTCCCTAACCTGTTCTAGTTGTCACTCATTTATGTGGTTGTATTTATTTAGCAAATACAAGTTCCAAAGCACCAGTGATAACCTCCCATTTGCTAAGTTTAAGGCGTTTAACCTGCCACTTAATTTGTAGAGGAGATGCTATAATCACTCCACAAGTATATCAGTGATTTGTACAGAAGCTCCAGAAGTGGACATTTTAGCACAGGAACAGCTTGTCCTGAATGTGATCAAAGCGCATAAAGTGAAGGAAATACATTGTATTTGTATACACAGCTTTTTTCAACATTTTAGATTAGGCCAGTGGTCACCATCTGTAGTTATATAAGACCGTAACTAGGTAAGGTATCAAGAGATGGTCTTTTTCCTAGAGGATAGTATATCTATTGAAGAAGCTGCCAGCTCATGCAATAGCCACTGCTGGATAAGCAAAATCGCTGTGAAAGGCTTAATGTTGAATACTAAATTAAGCTCAACCAACTTCTTGACTTTTTAAATTGTCATAGGATGTGACCGTTGCTACCTGGTCCAGGATTTATTGCATATGCCTATTGTTTTAGAAAGGTGGTGGTGAGCTGTCTTCTTTAACCACTGCAAACCATTTGGTGTCATGCATAGGTACAACCACAATGTCATTTGGGGGATGGCTTCCAGGATTCGGGCCCAGTGACACTGAAGGAATAGCGATATATTTTCAAGTCAGGATAGTGAGGGGCTTGAAGGGAAACCTGCAGGTAGTGGTGCTCCTGTGTATCTAGTGTCCTTATCCTTCTAGATGAGTTTGGAAGTTGTCGTCTAAGAAGCCTTGGCGAATTTCTGCAGTGCATCTTGTGCACAGTATATACTGTTGCTACTGGTGTCAGCAGTGGAGGAAGTGAATGTTTGTGGTTGTGTCAATCAAGTGGTCTGCTTTGTCACATCATATGGACATGTATGGGAAAAGCAAAACAGCTTAAGATCTTGTAGATTGACAACACAAATGAGATGTTCCCATGGTCTTAGCAACAAGTCAATTAAGTAACACACATCAAAGTAACTTGTACCTGATTGCTATCATGCAATAAATTACATCTTGTTTAAGACAAGAGCCTCTTCTTGTTCAGACTCACTTTAAACCAAGTAAGTGCTGAGACCCAGTCAAAGGAGAGGATGGTGGCAGCAAACTACCCCAACCTTAAACTGGTAGTAGTTGGTATCACTGCACACAACAGATATTATTCACCGAATTTCTTTAAAATAGAGCTAAATCTATTCCTGGCTGGGACAGTGATTGTTGTTGTAAAGATAGGTAACCTGTAAGATTAAAAGTTACAGTAGTCTCCTGGGCTACCTTTTAAAGCCATCCAAGCAAATCAAATAATATTCAGGTTTTCATTCTCCCCTTGATACAGCATTTCTGGAATATTTTTCTATTTGGCTCGTCAGATTTCATGGTTTTTAGGCTGGGTGGGAAATATAGGTTTTGTGATACACCAAGCAGTACAGTCATGTACAGTTTGGCTGAACTGATATTGTTTGGCTTTTTTTTTTAAACTGTCAATCATTGTTCATTGATAGGAGTTCAGGAATAAGTTTTAAAAATTGAGTAATAGTTATCAAAATGTAATTGATTTTAGTTCAGTTTAAAAAACAAAGTCACTTTACGCTTGGAAACTAATGAAACAGCTACGACTAACCCACTGACTCTCAGACAGGCTTTAAGCAGAAGGTATTGGGAACTTTTACAGAAGTTCATAGAATCCCTAGTGTCGAAACAGGCCCTTCAGCCCAACAAGTCCACACCGACCCTTACAGCATCCCACCCAGACCCATCCCCATACAACCCACCTAAGCTACATATCCCTGAACACTACGGACAATTTAGCATGGCCAATCCACCTAACCTGTACATCTTTGGACTGTGGGAGGAAACCGGAGCAAACCCACGCAGACACGGGGAGAATGTGCAAACTCCACACAGACAGTTGCCCGAGGCTGGAATTGAACCCGGGTCCCTGGTTCTGTGAGGCAGTAGTGCTAACCACTGAGCCACTGTGCTGCCCGTTATGTAGTCGGCAGGATTTGAACCTGTGTGGAGATATGAATCTGCGTGGGGATACCCCAACGGATTTCTAATCCGCCGCCTTAACCACTCGGCCATGACTACTAGGCCTACAAGTACACCACAGCTACATCTATTCACATGATAAGTCAATAGATGTGAATTTTATCTGAAACAAGTTGTTGCTTGCCCGAAACACAAAGAAAATTGCAAGATTCTAAACGTGAGTGACAAGAGTCACAATAATTGATGGCTATTTGCTGAATAAGCAGCAGGGTAAACAGCACGAGGTAATCCTTACTGGCATTATCCTTCAGGAATGTGTAAATGATATTACTATACACAAGCTGAACTGAAATGACAGCAAAAGAAATTCGTACAAGCAATAGCAGTAAAAAAAAAAATCCACACAATTGTGATCAGGATGGCACAATAATATGAAATTACTTTTAACATCATCCTAAAAAACACAGACACACACATCAATATTTTATTCTAGACCACAATGGGGTATGTAGATATGAATCAGTGAGCTCTAATTTTCAAAATTATCTTTTGGGTTACAACTAGGCATATTAGAATGGCCCCAGTAGAAACCAGTACCACATTGCAACCAACTCACACAGGATTTTAGTACTTGCAACCAGGAACCTGAAATCAATATTTGTTCTACATTTGCCTATGGTTACCCTCTTGCAATAATACGTTATTCAATTGAGTGCACACTTCAAAATATCAGCAGTCATATTTACCTGGAAGCTTGGATTTGGGAGGTGCAGTCAGTATGGCAAGATAATGTTTGCACTTCTTTAAAAAAAAAACATCAGGGTAGGGAGAGATGTGTCAAAAAATTCAGAAGATAAAGGGAAAAAGTTTTAAAAGAGAATATAGGCAGAAACTGCGCTCGGTTTGGGAACCAGTGGAAATATATTTAAGGTAATAGGTAAAGAACAAAAGCTGAGGTTGGGAATGGTGTTGGTGGAATTAGGGGAAGCAAAGACATTTATTTGTGCAAAACGAACGGTCATGATCTGCAATGCACAGCCTGAACAGGTGATGGAAGCAGATTTAATACTTGCTTTAACGATGGAATCAGATAAATACCTGGAAGAGGAAAGAACTGCAAAGCTGTGAGGAAAGAGGATTAAAGCTAAAAACAAAATAGGTTTTACTGCAAAATGTCTTCTTTCTATGTTGTCTGATTTCATTGTTCTGTGAAATTAAGAAAAAAAGGAAACTACATATTATTTAAGTCTTTCAAGGCTTGAATAGGCATAATGGGCTGAATGGTCTTCCTTTGATATTCTATAATTTTGTTCTATTTTCAGCCATTGCCATTTGATCTCTCACTGCAACACTGGAAGGTAAAATCAAAAATTTCTTTTTTTTACTTCTGCAGAAATTCTTGGGGTGGAAATTTGACACCCAGTTCCAAGTGCAAAGCTGGCAGTGTAAAATTAGGCCTCAGGCCCATCTGGACAGCTATCAGCATTTCTTATATCCTCACAAGCAGCTGGTAATTGTACAGCAACAAACTTCTTGACACGTGTCTCAGAAGTAAGCGTTGGGATGGAGGTGGAAGACGGATGTGGGCAATGACTGGGAGGGGAGGCATTCATTGGCAGCAAAAGTGATGTGGGGAAAAAAAAAGCTGAAGTTGATTTCAGCCATGATCAAATTCAGTGGCAGAGCAGTCTAAATGGGCTGAATGGCCTACTCCTGCTCTTTCTTCTTGGTTTAAAGCATTATAAACAGCAGGAAGTCTATGTGGCATTTGGAGGTAAGATTTAATGCAATGTTACTGATGAATAGTAACAGCAGGAAAAGAAGAGCAAGGAGGAACAGTTCTAATCTAAACAGATAATAAAGTCATAACATATCTTACAGTAGGTCCTCACAGCTGACCCAACACTGTTCATAGCAAGTAGGCTAGTACTTTCTATAAAGGAGAAAAGTTTTATGATTTTCGGTCTTATATTCAACATTTTTCTTATGCTCAGCACTAAAGAACACACTTTTGTAGCAGTGTGTTTCCTCCCTACAAACCAGTTTCATTTTATTCTCACAATTTCTGGTAATGTAGGATTGCTCATGAGGTCAGGAAGAAAATTAGCTCATTGAACTGACATAAACCCACTCACGTTGTCATGTAGGATATCAGAATTATTGCCATATCAAACTGCATGGCTTATGAATACAAACTCTCAATCTGGTTTATTAAAATCATAAAGGTTAAGTAGTAGCACAAAATCAAAACAGAAAAATTTAATTTACAAAGCATATCTACGCCTCCACAGGAAAGCAAAAAATACCAAAAAAGATCCAACAACAAAACACTCAAACTTGCTCAGTATACATAACATCGGTTCATCTCTACACCAGAGTCTTCAAGTGTTTCCTTCTAACTGTTGAACCCAAAAGTCCTGTGGAATTGGCAGTATTGCTGAGATGGACATAGAAATCAAATAGTTTTCCACAACTGAGCAAGGCTTATCAAATTAAAGCTGCTGTTCTTTGCAATCCTTTCACAAGATGGGAAGAAGGTATTTAATTTTTTTTCTTAAATTTGAAATTCTTTTCAGCAATCCAAACCATAATCTGGATGTGGCCAACTTTCCATTTGCTGGTGAAATATACTAATCTCACAGAATACTTCATAGACTGGAGACATGATAACTCCACATCTCCATGGATGGATCTCTGTGTCAGTGGTATTGTTTAGCATTGGTTAACGGTTGTTTCCTCCAATTCCAATTCCAATTGGACCCAGCCTAAAGTCTGAAAACCCACCAAAATCAAAGCAGATATTGTAGCATTAAATCTAGAAACACAGTAGGAAATTATGAGCAATTCAATCAATCTGGTCTATTATTCATTCCTCCCCCTCTTTCTCTTCAATCATTAATGGCAGAGTTTTCGTTCAACTTGTCCTCACTCTGTAGCTTCCTTCCTAAATCACTTGCCTAGTTACATCTCTCCACATGTTTAGAAGCCTTTTTAAAGCCTGTCTGACTCAGAACGCCATCAGTCACTATCCTCCTAGTTCTGTTCAGGCCTAACTCCCATTCAAACCGCTAAACATTTTGAAGCATTTTGGTACATTAACGTAAATATCTAGTGCACGCAAGTCAAAATGTGAACAAACAATATTTCAAGCAAAATAATGAGGACGTTGGAAATCTGAAATAAAAACAAGAATACTAGAAACACTCAGCACATACAAACGCTACTGTGAAGAGAGAAGCAGCTAACATTTCAGGTCCATGACCTTTCATTAAAGTACACGGTGTAAAAGTCATTTATAATTAAGGCATTTAAAATAACTAATACAAGGAAGCACATAACATACAAGGTACAAAGAAGGGCAATGGTGTTTAAAATACAGTAAGTCTTTGAATTAGTTACAATCTGTTTTAAATTTCAACCAGAGGAAACAAGTAACGAAGAAAGCAAACATTTTGGAACCTTTCAACTACGTAAATTATACTAAGGGATTTAGTTATTTCCAGGTCCTAATTGTATTGCACCCAGGGCTTTATTATTTGGGTGTCCTATGTTTAGTAACCTTAAGATTTTAACTTCTCTGTTGATATTACTTTGAATTAAATAAACAGAATAGAAATAATGCACTCAGCCCAAAACACACTATTCTGATCTTTATGATTTATAGGAAGCTCCTCAAAGTATCAGAGCAACACTAAACATAAGCTACATTAGTCCATAAATACATGTATATTCCTGTCTGTAAATGATAATTTAGTTAACGTGGGACCAAAATAACGAATAAACGATTAAACAGTTGTTTCTTTTGTGCTTTTCCTTTCATACAATGCGAGGTTGGAGATCATTGTTCAAAACCAAAGTTAAGAGGGCCAACGATCTGCCCTGTCACTTCACTATCCGTTCCATGTATTTAGGAAGTGGATTATCATCCAGGTATTTCTTTACAAACCAGCAACTGACGCGTGCCTTGAGATCCTCCTGTACTACAAAATTCATGGCAGCCTGTGAACAAGTCCAGTTTAACAAAAAAAAATTAAGATGGGAGGAGTTAAAGAAATATTTAAATTTCTATGCACCATACACAGAATCAAGATGTCCCAAAATGTTTTACAGCCAATCAACTTTTAATGCAATTCCTATCAAAACATAGGAAATGGAGTATCCTAATTTGTAAATAGCAAGTGCCACAAATAAAATTGTTTGAATAATATTTTAGTGATATTGATTTTAAGATAAATATTGGTCAGGACTTCACAGAACCGAGAACATTCTCTTCTTCAAAATGGAGTAACAGGATAACTTATCCACTTGATAGGGCTCAAAGGCCCTTAGTTTAACATCTCTAAATATACCAGTTAAGGTCTACAGAAAAGATAGGGCAAGAGGAGAGAAGTAACATTCACGATGAAGGATGAAATCACATCAATGTTACAGACTTCATAAGGGGTAGTAAGCAGATACGGGAAATATTAATGGTAACAGGCATTTAAAACTGCAGAAGTTGGCTACAGATTACTGTTGGTATCTATGAAGTGATAGATTGCAAACATATATAGATTAGTTGATTTTTTAACAAATGCAGAGTAGCTTTAACAGTGGATTATAAATTTTCATTTCGATTGAGATAAGCAAACAAACACATATAGGAAAGCTAATAAATTTCTTGGGTCACCCAGAATAACTTCTGCAATATTGGCCCAGATCTTTCAGATAGTCAGAGACCAGGTATACCCCCTGACTCACCAAAGCTACATGGTGGGACTCCTCAAAGGTCCCAATTCGATGATAATGTGGGAATTGCCAGGAAGTTTAAACTTCCAATTGGCAATTACTCAGCATCTAGAACTGTTCAAAAAAAATCTCCAACTCTGAGTTACTTCATTTTTCAGGAAATGCTAGGAGGCATAAAAACCAGTTCTAACTTCCAAATAAACTAACCCACAACCAACCCCCCAACCCCACTTACCCGGACCCTCAAGACCCCAATCCTCAATTCTCTGAATCCTCAATCGTTTGACACTCCAACTCCCTCCATCACAACCCTTTCATCCACCCCCAAAAATCCAAAGCTCCCAGACCTCCAACCCCTGCCTTCCAACACCTTCTGGCCCTCTGACCAAAACCATGTCCCACCTCTGAAACTGCAGCATTCTCCAACTAACCTTCCCAATCTGACTTGACCTCACCACCAACCACCCTGTTACCCTAGCTACATTATGCCGCCTTACCCACCCTATCTTCCTCATAATGTATCCATGTGGCCCCCTTTCCCATTTTATCATCCTACTCAGCCTGCTTCTGTATCCAAAGTGTAAGAAGATTAAGACTCAAAGATTATTACACTGCCTTTATTATAGGTTCCTATTATTTACTACCTGATAGTTTGTCAGTATAACAGTATAACTGCTATTAGGGAACAAGAAACCAAACCTATCAGCATTTTCTGACCCTTATTATTTCTAATTTCCACCCATACAAATTCAGTTTTTAATGTAAGAAACCTAGCAGTAATAAAGAAATAATGGCACAAAGAGTGACAATCCCAGACAGATCATTTCCATCTCGGGTTTTTAAAAGGATATTGGTATCAACATTACAGATTCCCTAATGATAATCTTCCAAAATGCTCATGCTCATGCTCGGAAACCATTCTTTCAGAGCACATCATCCACTCTGTAGGAAAGGCAGTAGAGAAACCGAGGATTATAGATCATTGCTAAGAGGAGAAATTGAAACTTTTCATCTTGCACTCATCAAAACTAGGGTCCAATTCACAAGGCTGCCAATAAGAAGTCAGCCAATGGGTTCTTAACTACCATCTACTGAAAGCCTATGTTCACTCATCAGTTTCAGAATTCCTACAGTCCAATGTGCTAAAAAGTCAATCTTATTGGCAACCTCACGAATAGGGCCCTAGCCACCTGTTCATCATGCAAGTTTAATGCTAAGATAGGGCACTTCAAAACTATCATGCACGATAACAAATATGCTGAGGAAGTTATCACTCGTATATCGCAAAAACTTATGAAAAAGCGTATGTCCACCATTTTTGGCCCCGAGTGATACCCGGTCTCGTTCAGACTATGCTGAAAGGTTTCAAAAATTTCAACAACATGTGAAGCTAGCTGTCTCATACTGCTACTATGCAAAAAAACCTACGCATGGTTTTCTCAACTAAAAGAATGTTGCCATTAAGCCAAAAAGATACTTTACCACACAATTGAGGAATATATTAGTTTCAGGGCTGCTGTGATGCAAGGTGTTCAGGCTGTACATCGCAATGACTGCTGGACCATATCAAACAACAAATCTCATTTGACCATTCAAAGTGATCAACATTCTGACTGTGTTCCAATAGTCTATGGTTGCAAGGCTCAAAAATATATCCACCATTAGATATCATTCTGCTATTGGAAGCCATTTATTAAATCACCCAGACTGTGGTCAGATTCACAGTGGAAATCAATTTAAGATCATCACACACACACACACACACACACACACACACACACACACACACACACAACACCCAGGTTTTATGTACACAAAATGTATTTGCACAAACACTGCACCTTTTACATAAAAAGGGGTCCTGGAGATAGCCAATCTCAGCTCTATCTGCAGGGCAGCAACCTGACCAATCAGAATCTAAGCTGCCTGGTCGGCAAATTAAGATTGATAGTTAATTGTTCTTAGTGCATCTCCATGCCATTGATAGCCCATCCAATCAGCACCCTCATCTCTTGCAGTATAAAATTGATAAAGGGGACACAAGTTTGTTTCTTATGTCCTAGTTGTATTGACTGCAAGATAGAAAGCTTCAGCTTTTGTCTCTTTTTGGCCACGTTCAAATTCTGTACCACCAAGCAATTCCTTATAGACCAATTACCCCAACATCAATTGTTTGTATAGATAGAGTCGACAATAAAGGATAGACTAACTGGGCAGCATTAAAAGTTTTTAAACTGATCAGAGAGAGCACACATGGATTTGTAAATGGAAAGACAAACTGGATTCAATTTTTTCAAAAGGCAATTTAGAAAGTGTACAAGGGAACATCTATAGATGTTCCTTATATGGACTTCAAATGACATTTCATGAAGTATTTCACAAGAAATTGTTAAATAAACTTAAAGCCCATAGAAAAGGGAAATTATTGGCATGGTTAAAGAGCTTGCTGAGCATAAAGGAGGAGGCAAAGCACAGGAATAATGAGCAGGCACTTTAAATGGCAGTGATGACTCAATAATCTTTGTTGAAACCTCAACTAATCACTTTAATAACAAGGCAGAAGATGGGATAGAAAGTCACATATCAAAATTTGCAGATGAAACAAAGATAGGTGGGAATGTAAGCAGCATAGATGAAGCACTAAATTACAAAAGAGATATTGTTCAATTAAGTAAATGAGCAAAACTGTAACAATTGAATTTTAATGTGGGCAAAGGTGACATCATCCTTTTGGACCTAAAATTAGAACAGGGCACTTTTTAAATGCTGTAAAGCTACAAGAGTGGAGATCCAAAGAAACTTGTGCGGTTCAGGTATATTAACCATTACCATGTCATAAACAGGTACAGAAAATAATTCAAAACATGAATAGAATGCAGAATCATTGGCCTTCAAATCTGGAGGAGTAGATAACATTGGGCTAAAACTCATGCTACAGCTGTATAAAGAAGAAAGACATGTAAAGTAAATTTACCAAATTTAAACCTGGACACTAAGTGTGAAATTACAACAGGAATTTAAACAATCAAGAGAGATCTTCTTTGGAATTTAGAAGGTTAAGGGGAATTTATCAAAGTTTACAAGATATTTAGTGGAACAAATTGGCTGACCCTTAGAAGACAAAGGGTGGTAGTGGACGGAAAATATTCAACTTGGTGCTCAGTTACAAGTGGTGTACCACAAGGATCTGTTCTGGGTCCTCTTCTATTTGTGATTTTTGTAAATGATTTGGATGTAGGAGTGGAAGGGTGGATTAGTAAGTTTGCGGACAATATGAAGGTGGGTTGAGTTGTGGATAGTGCGGAGGGCTGTTCTAGGTTACAAAAAGGGACATTGATAGGATGCGGAGCTGGGCTGAGAAGTGGCAGATAGAGTTTAACCCCGAAAAGTGAGAGGTGATTCATTTTGGAAGGACAAACTTGAAAGCAGAATACAGGGTTAACGGAAAGATTCTTGGCAGTGTGGAGGAGCTGAGGGATCTTGGGGTTCATGTCCACAGTTCCCTGAAAGCTGCCACCCAGGTGGATAGAGTTGTTAAGAAGGCGTATGGTGTGTTAGTTTTCATTAATAGAGGGATTGAGTTCGAGAGTCATGAAGTTATGCTCCAGCTATACAAAACTCTGGTTCGGCCACACCTGGAGTATTGTGTCCAGTTCTGGTCGCCTCGCTACAGGAAAGATGTGGAAGCGTTGGAAAAGGTGCAGAGGATGTTGCCTGGAATGGAAGGAAGGTCTTACGAGGAAAGGTTGAGAGCTAGGGCTTTTCTCTTTACAACGATGAAGGATGAGAGGTGACTTGATAGAGGTGTACAAAATGGTCAGAGGTATAGATAAAGTGGACAGCCAGAGACTTTTTCCTAGGGTAAAGTTAGCTATTACGAGGGGGCATAGTTTTACAGTGAGTGGAGGTAGATATAGGGGAGATGTCAGAGGTAGGTTCTTTACACAGAGTGGTAGGGGCTTGGAATGCATTGCCGGAGAGGGTAGTGGAGTCAGCCTCATTGGGGCATTTAAGCGGCTATTAGATAGGCATATGGATGATAGTATAAAGGTAGAGGTGGAGGTGGAGGTTAGATAGAAGTTAGGATTAGGGTAAAAGTTCAGCACAACATCGTGGGCCGAAGGGCCTGTACTGTTCTATGTTCTAAAGGAAAACAACTTTTATTGGTGTGGAGGTTTTTTCATTCATGGGATGTTGGTGTTGTTGGCTAAGCCAGAGTTTATTGCCCATTACTAATTGCCCTTGATAAAGTGGTAGGGAGCTGCTGTCCTTAAGATGTATGTACATCCACAAATGCTGTTAGAAAGGGAGTCCTAGAGACAACAAAGGGAAGTCCAGGACTAGGAAGCATAGTCTAAAAGCCAAAAGCCAAATCTTTCAGTCAGAAATTAGGAAAAAAACTTCTGTTTTAAAGGATGGGGAAAATGTGGATATTTTTCTACAAATAGCAACTGATGCTAGATAAATAGCAAATTTTAAACCATGATTCACAGATTTTTGTTATTCACAGGTATGAGGAGATATGGGACTAAGGTGGGTTTATGGAATTTGGTCTCAAAGCAGTAATGATCTAACTGAAAAACACCATACATTCAAGGGGCTACATGGTTTATTCCTAGTCCTACATTCATTTTAAAGATGGCACCTCCAACAGTGCAACACTCCTGGAGAAACAGGGCTGCTTAAGTCTCTGGATGGGACTTGAACTCTTCTGATTCAGAGGTGAAAGTGCTACCACTAGGCCACAGCTGACCCAAGATGTTGGCTCCTCGTACTTGATCACACCAAAAATGTAAATTATTGTATATTTTCTTTAAAAATCAAAACACATCAGGGGGATATTCAATACCTGTGCCAGTTGCATGCCAAGTCCTTGTCCCCTGAACTTAACAGGCACTGTTGTGGAGTACAGATCAACCATTTTCAGTCCGATGTACTTGTACCGCAAAACAGCTTCATCCGTAGAACCTGTGAATACACAACTGGTATCATTTAATAATGAGCTCTTTCTGGACTATGACAATGTAAAATATTATCCACGATCTGCATATGTAATTGTCTCAAGTGTTATTACAACATAAACTTAACTGATATGTGCTTAAAATAATAGGGGGGTAGCTGATCTAAGTCACACAGCCAGATCTGTGTCATTTTGCAGCAGTAAAGAAACACAGACTCTGTGCAAAGAGTCGTCTTTGGATCCATCACACACTTTTACAGTTTATTTTTTACCAGTCACCATTGTGTGAGGCAAATTAAATCCAAGGGGGTTAACTTAGTTCTTGAGATCTGTATCTGCATCCACTGACGGCAACAGGGAACTAAAATTCCTTCCCCTAATTTTAGATGACTTTTCTCAGTAGTAGACCCTCAGAAGCATTCAGCAGTCCTATCATGGACAGTTGTTATAAAACTGTGGAACGTAATTTTACAAGCAATCTTTTTTAACCAATTTGCAGTGAATTTCTTGCTTATACAATTACTGACCATAGAATACATTCAACTATTGTGCCTATGTCAACTCTTTGGGCTACCAGTTAGTACCATTCTCCCACTCCTTCCCCACAGGAGGAAAATACTTAACCAGGAAAAGGCTAATTTCAGCAAACTGAAGAGGGATCTAGCTCAGGTAAGTTACAGTCAAAGACTGGCAGGCAGAAATGCAATGGACAAACAGGAGGCCTATAAAAAGAGATGGTTCAGTATAGTCTCAACATATTCCACTCAAAGGGAAAAACAGGGCAAACGAAGCCTGAGTTCCCTGGATATCAAAAGACTGAAAAACTAAGTTAAAGTACAAAAAGGGGCGTATGACAAATGTCAGCTTGATAATACAAAGAAGAATCTAGTTGAATACGAAAACAGAGGCAGAGGCAGAGAGACAATACATGAACAAAAACCAAAGGTCTTCTACAGTTATAATGACAGTAAAATGTCAGAACATTTCACTTGCATTTGGAAAAGAGTGGACATATTAGGATAGGATGGCTTTATGTGGAGGAGGTCTTGTCTCACAATTTTGATTGAGTTTTTTGAGGAAGTGACAAAGATGTTTGATGGTAGGGCAGTGGATGTAGTCTATGTGGACCTTACTAAAGCATTTGACAAGGTCCCTCATGTAGGCTGGTCCAGAAGATTAAGTCACATGGGATCCACAGTGAGTCAGTAAATTGTATACAAAAATTGGCTTGATCACAGAAGTTTTTCTAACTGAAGGTCTGCAACCAGTGGTGTTCCACAAGGATCAGTACAGGGACCTCTGTTGTTTGTCACATAAATAAATGTTATGGATGAAAATGTGGGTGGGCTAATTAGTAAGTTTGCAGATTACACCAAAATTGGTGAAGTTATAGATAGTGAGCAAGGTTGTCAAAACATAAAGCAGGATATAGATCAATTGGAAAGCTGAGCGGAGAAAAAGCAGGTCGAGTTTAATTCAGACAAACAATCTGGTAAAGCAGATATGATATCAACACTTAAGAGGTGATGCATTTTGAGGGGTCAAATACAAAAGGGAAGGATAGAATAAATGGTGGAAACCTTGAGTATTGATATACAGTGGATCTTGGATTGCAAGTCTGCAGTTCCCTGGAAGTGGCAACTCAAGTGGATAAGATGGTAAAGAGGCATACGATATGCTTGTCTTTTTCGGTAAAGGCATTTGAGTATAAAAGTTGATCAGTCATGTTGCAGCTCTTTAATTAGGCCACACTTGGTGAATTGTGTGCATGTCTGGTCACCACACTATAGGAAGAACATTGAGGATTTGAAAGGGTGAAAAAGAGCTTTCCCAGGATGTTGCCTGGATCAGAGTGTATTAACTATAGAGGTTGGACAGACTTGGGTTGTTTTCATTACAGCATTGGAGGCTGAGAGACGAACTGATAGAAATATATAAAATTCTGAGAGGCACGGATAGGGTGAATAATTGGAGTCTTTTTCCCAGAGTGGAAATGTCAGATACCAAGGGACATAGGTTTAAGGTGCGAGGGGGAAGTTTAAAGGAGATGTGTGAGGCAAGTTTTTTTTGAAGAAACACAGAAGCTAGTAGGTTTCTGGAATGTGCTGCCTGGGGAGGTGGTAAATAAGATACAATAGCAACATTTAAGAGACAATTAGACAGACACGTGAACAGGCAAGGAATTGAGGGATACAGATCATGCGCAGGTAGACGAGATTAGTTTAGAATGGCATCATAGACAGTGCACACGTGGTGAGGTGAAGGGCCTGTTCCAAAGCTGTACTGTTCTACATACTATTGGAGACAATTAGGGACCAAGGCAGAGATCTACTCGTGGAATTAAGGCATAGTTGAATTATTAAATGAGAATTTATCAAGAAAGGGGACTTCGTCAAAGTCAAGATAAATGAAAAGTTTGTCAGCCCGGTGAATAAAATAAGTAAGGTGGAGGAGCTAGAAAGGCTGAGAGTGCTGTAATTCCTCACTTAACCTCAATTTGATCAAATTTATTTTGTAATAATGTCACTAACACAGTAAGAAAAATAGATCCTTTTAATGTCGTGACATTTGCTATTACATTGTTTGCCAGTGGGTCATAGCAAACTACTTTTGGATAAGTGACCTGCTTTTGACATATGGATATAGAGGCACCATTTTAACTTCAATAACAATATATTTTGATTTAATAATTCAATCCCTTGTCAATGCAAGTTAAATATGCCCAATAATTGATGGTAGTGAGTCTGGTGGTTTAAAAAAAAAGCAAGAAATACTTTGGACATTAAATTAAAGATTAAAAGGTGTTTTGATGCTGGAGCAGTTAACATCAGGAGACCCCTTGGGCTGCCTCCTACTACAGCAAGAACAATCCATAGTAAAGTTGACAAAATAAAAGAAAGTCCACCAAGGGTGACACACTTTACATGCAATCAAGACAAGTCAAATGAACAGTAGTATCATGTGAAAAAACCGTTTCGCTGAAAGACCAAACTCAATACAATATATATGTCTCTTAAATGTGATGGGTGTGCAAAGTGAACGCTAAAAGCTTGGCTTTCCACTGAAACAATGATCAGGAAGACAATTCACATTTGGGAAGTTCTACTGCTAGTCATAGTTGTTGCGAACATTTTAAGAGGCATTGTTATTTGCATATCATTAAAAGGTGATCGTTAAAGTGGCTAGTTTCATTGTATAGTCACTGAAAAATTCCTTTCCTGAAAAACGATGGAAAAAAGTGGCTATTCACTGAAGCAAACATTTGACGTTGATGGGGACAGAAATATATTGGAAGTCATAATTTCACAGCGTGGAAAGAAGCCCTTTTGCCCATCATGTCCATGCTAGTCATCAAGTACCCACCTACTCTAGTTCCATTTTCCAACACAGCTTGCAGTCTTGTATGCTATGACACTTCCAGTAATCATCTCTTATATTTCTTAAATGTTGTGATTTACTTCTGGGTGAAAATAATTCTTCTTTAAATCCCTTCTAAACCTCCTGCTCTGTATCTTAAATCTATGCCTTGTGATTACTGATCGCTCCAATGAGGGTAAACGTAACTTATCTATGCTTCTCAGATGCCAAGTGTAAGTCACAAACAACATATTTCCACCAGATATTACACCCAAAGGAACACAACGTAACTAAAGGTGGGAACACTGCAAGATATTTCAAGTTTAAAGTCCTTTGTGGTGTACCACTCAGGAGGTTTTGAAAGGTTATTCCAAAAGAACATGTGCATGTAATTTGGCTATGAAATAAAAAACCCTGAATGAATGGGACAATTTTTCAAGAATGCTTTTCCCTAAATGCCATATCTACTTGGAAAGAATATTATGCCGAAGAAAATATCAATTTCAGCAGATAGTAGGAACTGCAGATGCTGGAGAATCTGAGATAACAAGGTGTAGAGCTAAATGAACACAGCAGGCCAAGCAGCATCAGAGGAGCAGGAAAGCTGATGTTTCGGGCCTAGGCCCTTCTTCAGAAATGGGGGAGGGGGAAGGGGGTTCTGAAATAAATAGGGAGAGAGGGGGAGGCAGATGGAAGATGGATAAAAGGAGAAGATAGGTGGAGAGGAGACAGACAGCATCCCAAAACCAGCCCAGCTTGTCCCCCCCTCCCTAACCTGTCCTTCCTCCCACCTATCCCCTCCTCCCACCTCAAGCCCCACCCCCATCTCCTACCTACTAACCTCATCCCGCCCCCTTGACCTGTCCGTCCTCCCTGGACCGACCTATCCCCTCCCTAACTCCCCACCTACACTCACCTTTACTGGCTCCATCCCCGCCTCTTTGGCCTGTCTGTCTCCTCTCCTTTATCCAACTTCTATCCGCCTCCCCCTCTCTCCCTATTTATTTCAGAACCCCCTTCCCCTCCCCCATTTCTGAAAAAGGGTCTAGGCCCGAAACGTCAGCTTTCCTGCTCCTCTGATGCTGCTTGGCCTGCTGTGTTCTATCAATTTCAGCATATTGTTTATCTTAGGTAATGCCCCAGGCCACCCTGTTAAACTTGACAATTATCAGAAAATGTAATGATCATTTCTTGTCCTTGCTAATACAACTTCATCGTCATATCGCATGGATTGGGGCAGTAGCAATTTTCAAGCCTTATTATTTACATCATACCTTCTCCCCGTTCAAGGAGAGAAATGGCAAAAGTAAGTCAACAAATCGGGAAAGTCGTAAATATAATATTTCAAGAACTGCCGAGTCATAGGACACAGTTGCATTAGAATGCATGAATGGTATGCAGCAAAAAAACACGGCATGAATTTGTCAACAACAGCAAAACAATTGGGAGGCCACCTCTCAGAAGGATGCATCAGCAACCATGCTGACAATCTAATGTTTTGGAGTAGATTTGTAGCTCGGAATGTGGATGTTGAGGTTGGTTGGCTTACCGAGCTGGTTCGTTGTCGTTCTGCAGACGTTTCATTACCCTGCTGGGCAACATCATCAGTGCAGCCTCCAATGAAGCGCCGTTGTGTCTTCCCGCCTGGTTT